GAGGGGGCGGCGTTACCACGTCAAACAAGGAACGAAGAAGAAGTAGAGAACTGAGGTAGCATAGCACGGCGATGAGGACTAAGGTAGCAGAGAACGAAGATGCAAGGCACTAAAGGGTGGGCTGATACAACACGGCGATGAGGACTGAGGTAGCAGAGCACGAAGAAGAAGCAGAAGAACAACTGCGTGCTTTCGATTAGGTATGTTAGGACATTCGACGTCGGTTATTAAAAAAGCTGACGTGGATAATGCTTTCAACGTCGGGTAAATCATGGAACCGACGTTGATTTTGGGATTTCAACGTCGGTTATACATAACTGACGTTAAATTTAAACATTTAACGTCGTATGTTATCTAACCAACGTTATTTATCCATTCCTACGTCGGTTTTGTTATAACCGACGTTAAATATTGTTTCTTAATTACAAGTTTGCCACCGCGTCTTGTAGAACGTCGGTCTTCATAAAAATCGACGTTGAATTGTGTCGTAGTAAGTGTTTTCTGTAGTAGTGGTACGAGTGCTATGGATGTGGAAAGCTTTATCATATTAAATCAGATTGTCCGGAGCTTAAGAAAGAGAAGAAAGATATGAAAGAGAAGAAGAAAGAGAAGAATGGTATCTATAAGAATAAACGCAAAACTTATATTGTTTGGGAGGATAATGATTCTTCCACAACACAAGACAGTTCTTTCAAAAGCAGTATGGAGAAGAAGAAGCAAATTTTTGCTTTATGGCAAAAAGTGACGATGCAACCTCATCACAAGAAACCTCATCACAGGTAAGCAGTACAAAATCCTTAAATGAATATGATGAGTTGTTTAAAGAATATCAATATATGTATCAAGGTTTTACCAAGTTATCTAAGAAATACAATGCACTTTGACAAAAGTTGAATGCATTAGAAAATATTGTTGGTATTATTGAAAAAGAAAATGAGTGTTTAAAGAAAGATGTTGAGAAATTTAAAACTTTGTCTAAAAATAAAGAAGTTGCGAAACCTTGTAAAAATTGTAATCATTTGGAAAATGAGATTTTCAAGTTAGAGAAAATAATAAGCAAATTTTTAAAATCTTCTAAAAATCTTGATTCTATATTAGGTTATCAAAGAGGGAATTCTAGCAAAACTGGACTTGGTTACAAACCCAAAGAAAGTCTAGAACCTCGTAAAACTATTTTTGTGAAAGAGTCAAGAAAAATAGGTGTGAAACCAGTTTAAAAAACTTTAAGAAACTCATTTAGCCCTTTTCAAAGAAAACTAACATGTTTTTATTACATGAAATTAGGTCATACATCAAATAGATGTTACATAAAACATTTTGGTATATCTAATGGCAAATATGAATGGGTGTCTAAAGGGTCAAAACAGTTATATATGTCTAGATGATAGTTTGAGCATCTAATAGATTATAAATTTTTGGAAAAAAAATTTCTTGTTGTCATAATCAATTATGTTGATTCCGAAGGTGTTATGATAATCGATTATTATATCATGGTTCTATTCTTTTATCTTTAGTCTTTTGGTAGAAACTTGTGATTCTACTAACCTTCTTAAGGACCCAAAAATAATTAAAGGGTACCTAGATTTGTATGTTAATGTTGCAGGTAATTATCAAGAATAAGAAATCAATACAGGTTATTGGAGTTAAATGAGTGTACAAGAACAAACTAGATGAACAAGAATAAGCTGGACCTGAAACTTAGGACAAGTCTGCTTCATTTACAAGAACCTTGACCCAATCTGATGTCAACAATGGTGGAGGGTTTTCTACTCCAAGGTACTGTGTTGAGACAATTTTCCCAATTTTCACTAGATTGGATTAATCGGTTGATCCTCCTGTTCAGAACATCCTTACAAGTACTTTTGTCTATTTGATGTTATTGCGGTAGGGTTACAATCTAAGAATTATTTTTTACTTAAGCTATTGAATTTTAGGCTTTAGTAATTTGGGATATGAGTGAAGTGGGTGTCTAATTCTTTTCTAATCAGTTGGTTCCTTTACGTAGTTGTCGTAACTTTAATGTGCTTTTTTTTCTCTTATGTATGAAAATATATACTATGTGTGATAAAATTGGCCCATGATATTTACAACCCCACATTTTGATATTCCCACCCCACTCCTTTTTAGTAATTTTATCTACGAAAATTATTATTGCGTATCTTAACGAGATTACTGTTAAATTATTGGCAAGTGTACCAAAATTATCAATCGTAGTATAGTATTTCGATTAAATAAAAGTCGATCCCACGAGGAATGGTTTCAATGGAAATTCTCAATTATGCTTACTAAGTGGATTAAAACAGATTGGGTTTTGCAATAAGAGTTGAATTGAAATTAAATGACAAAGAACTGTAAATTGTTGAGAAAATATCAATTAAACGTACTTAGGATTGATTTCCTTTCTTATCCCTCTTTTGTAATGGCTAAATCAATTAAGAACGTCAATTAACCTAACAATGTTGATGCCACCTACTCAAATCATTCATGTTTATTCCTCACACATGAAATTCATAAGAAAACCTAATAAATGTTGATTCCTCACACAATTAAGAGACTTTCCAGCATTAGGGTTAGGGTGTTAAGCAATTGATACATTCATTCCATTCCTGGCAATTAACGTAACAATTATTCTTACCGTGATCTAGGGTTCAAGATATATTTTCCAATCATACCCCAAACATCAAGAATAAATCATTCTAAAGCATAAAGGATAAGAATAACAACATCAAATCATATATTAATATCTCAAAATATCACCATAATACAAAAGAGTTCAAAGGAAGTGCACCGAATCCTAAGAGAATGAAGTTAGTCACTCATGTTGGTCATTACAATGCTCTAATTGATGAAGAAGTGAAGAATTGGTGAAGATTAGACGAAATCCTAACAGTAGTCGTGCCTCCTCTTCTCCAAGACTGCTTTCTTTTCTCAAAACACATCTTATCCTTTTATAAGATAATTTGGGTCGAGCCTCGCATCATTCATTCGCTTAAGCGTTCTTCTTTCTTTCAATTTTTCTCTAATTATGCTGACAATTATGTTCCTTACTCTTGTATCAAGGTATTCTTGAATTCATCCTATATTAACAGAAAAATATATTAGAATTAACATAAATTAAATGGTTTCATAACAATTTAAGACATAATTATATCAACCTTTTACCACTTAACAATTACTCCATGGAAAGTTTTTTTGACTATCTTGTCAATACTTAATGGAAACTTTCCATTATGTGTCTTACCACTTTGTTTGACATTATCGAGTTTTTAAATATAAGATAGATTAATTATCTCTTTGTCAATTTTACTTTTTCTTGTCAATGATTTGTTTAATTATTCTCCACATCAAACATTATTTAACCCTAATTTATGTCTTTGGATTGAGGTAGTTGGAATTGTTTTGACATATTTTGCCTTTTATTTTGCATGATAAAATGATCCATGTATTTAAGTCGGCCCTTGTGTTCAATATACTTTTGCATTGCATTGTATTTTAACTCGTTGAAATAGTTTTTAGTCTGAAAGTCTAATTTTAATTAGTTACTCCTCCTTTTGTATTGTGTATTTAAAATTTTTATCATTATTTTAAAAATAATTTTATTGTTATTTTAAAAGTAATAGTAAAAAAATTAGTGATTAATATAGTGATTGATTTGGTCATATAACTAATTCGGTCACTAATTTGGTCACTTATTCGATCATTGAATCGGTCACTAATCAATCACTAAGAAAATAGTGATTGATTCTAATTAGTCACTATTTCGGTCACTATTGATCTTGGTTATTTAGTAATTAAATTTTCGATCACTATTTGATATTTTTCTTGTAGTGATTGTGAATTAATGGAAAAATTCAATATTAAAAAAATTAAACTAATTAATTAGTGATTTTAGTTAAAAAAATATAGTAAAATTATTAACAGGAACATGACATTAAAAAAATTATTATAAAAATAAATTGTTCATTCATATACTACTTAAATCAAATTGATCTTCTAAAGTCGTATATCAAAGCGTAACTTACTTATATCCCAATTTTTTTAAAACATGTTGAGAATAAATAAAACAAATTGTACTATTTTGATAAATTTACCGGTATTGGTCTGATTATTAAAACTTTTTCTTTTATGATAATACTACCTGTTCCAACATTTTTCTTGGAGATGTCCTCTGCTTTTAAAGGTTATTTCTCAGTTTTGGAGTCTAGTATACCTTAATAAATTGTTCCAACATTTTTCTTTGTCTATACATTCGGGTTTTTAAAAATTTACACAACGTCAAAATTTTACATGAAATTTAATACAAACGATTGGTTTATCAATGAGCAACATGAATCAACAAGGTTGACACTGCATGTAATATACCTAGGTTGAGCAGCAACTTCACATTTTTTTTTTCTATCACATTCATCCCAGTGCTGTTTTTCAATTTTTCATAAAGCCAAAATCTTTCATCAAGTTATCACTGCATGTATGGTTAGAGCAACCTGCAACCTGAATCAACTTGATCATTACATATAGTATATATTCTTTAATAACAACAAGGCTGGCAGCACGTGAAACCTAAAGAACATTTTTTCTTCTTCATCTATCTACATATATTGACTTTTTTATTCCAAAGAGATTCATAAAAAAAAAAAAAAAAAAGTCCAAGTTGACATATTACTCGACAGTTGAATGGTTGAAATTTGCTCAACCTCTTCATTTTTTATATGCTTGAAAAAATATTTTAGCAAGCCTAATAGAAACTCTGTTACCACTTGTTGAAAGATTATTATTAAGTCAAAAACTGCAGAATACAACTCTTTCTATTTAAAATAATATCATAATTCAAATATTATATTTTGTTTCACGTGACAATTAATTCAATAGCAGCAATTTACACATTCTCATCTTATTATACTTTATGTTAATATTATTTTTCTTTTCATTGTCATTTAAAATATTCACACCATTTGAAATGATATTAGGATTATATAGTTTAATAGTTATTCTCGTTCTTTTCATTTAGGAAGCAAGAGGTCCATGGCTTTTACACGGGCCTCATAATACAACTTTGAAACCTTTCCATCACCCACAAACTCCCACTTGGATGAAAAATGGGTGTAACCCAACTCAGCAATTTGGGCTTCTAAGCTCACTGACCATAATATAAATACTTAATTTTTGAAATTATAGTCAGTGTGGAACTTCTAAAGGCGAAATCAGATTGCATTGGCATGCTCATTTTGTCCATTCTCCCTGCATAGTTGACAACCAATGTTTTGAACTTTTTGGCAAGTTAAAGCTTTGGCCCTCATAGTTTTGATACAAGGATCAGTTGAAAATCCTGTCTATGCTCATAGCCTCATTCACTGGTTATGTTTGGAAATTTGCAAGAAATGACAGACGCATGGGGTGGGAAAAATATGATGGTGAAAATCAATGTACACAGTACATCACAAACAAGGGAATCCAGGTTAAGCTTAATGTCTAAGTGAGAGGGTAACTCAATGAATAGATGGGACCAGTTCAAAATCCCAAACAAAGGAAATAAAACATTATACATTAGATATTTAAAAGCTACCGCAATTATTGAAAACAAAAATTGTTACCAAAAGGCAGTTGAAAAATCGAGTTACAGTTTTTAAGTCAAATGGTTTAATCTAAAATTTTCTTTAAACGATAAATACTTCTATCCTACTTTTTTTTTTTTTTTTTATTGTTGATAACATACACCTAATTTACTAATAAAGTATTTTATAATTTTCAATTCTGGCCCCAAGCATTTGGCCCATTTTAAATTTCTTGTTTCACAGAGTTTATTCAGAGGGTTAACTACTGGGCCTGCTTTGTAGCACATGCCTAGCCCGATAAAAGCTCATTGACGGGCCCCCAAAGCCTATATAGGACAGCCCGTTTTACAAATAAAGAAGGAGAGCGTTATTTTTTTTTTTAACAGCTACTTTTATTTTTATTTTCATCTTTTACTAGTAGTTTATAGTATTGTCCTGTGACTACTTTTTATTTTATCCATTTATTTGGTAAGAGCCAATTTGTTTTGTTTCAAAAGCTATTATCGTTCAACAACATTATTTATGAGCATCATAGACTGTAAAATCTTGCAATTTATTCTTTGAACTACCTTAGTTTCTTCAATCTACCCTTCCATTTAGTTGCATCACTAACTAATGATTTTCACTTTAACCTATTTGATAATGTTGAAAAGTAATGAATACTTTACTTTTTTAGAGTATGTGCGGTGACTTTTTTAAAACTTGAAAACTTTTTTAAGTTTGACAAAAAAAATTTATAAAATCAAATATAAGTTTTAAAGTTAAAGGTACTTTATAATTGAATAATTTTTAAATCCTTGTGAAGAGTTTAAGCAAATGGGATGTTCTTTTATCATCGTATACAAAACCTACTTACTATAAAAATCTGTTTCTCCAAATTACTTTTGAAACAACTTCATTACGAAATTTTGTTACATCAACTCATCTTTTAAGAAAGTAATTTTACATTAACTACAATACAATAGTGATGATTTTTATTGTGGCTACCCTTGTTAGAGTGAAAACTATGATTAAAGAAGTTTGACATTATCACTTGTTAGAGTAATTGTGGAATATTAATCACCCTACGAAAGAAAAGTTAAAACAAACCTATTATTTCTTCGTTTGATGCGAAAGAACAAGGAAAAAACTAGATATCTCTAGTAAGTGTGATCTACAATAATTTAGAATCCGTTATATATATATATAGCAAAAATCTTTTTTTCACTTGAAATGAAAGATAAGAGCAATTGAGGAATATATATATATGACATTAAGCAACGACAATTAATTTAAAAGTAATTTCTATTTTTCTCTGTCACTCGTAGACCGAAATATCTATGTAGCAATGAAAAATTCCTTAAAATCAAACTTTCTAAGAATCTTTTTTATTTTTTATAAGGATTAGTAATTCAAATTGTATATTTGAGCCTTAAGCAAATAATATAAATTCAATTTCTTCCATTGAAGAATTGATAATTACAATTCAATTTTCCATTTTAGCAAGTAAACAAAGTAGCCATCTAAGCTAGTGTGTTGAGTCAAAAGAAATATATTATTGGTATGAAAATATATTTGATCCAATCGATAATGACATAAAGTAAAGGGATGCGTTTGCTAGATTCATCAGAAAAGGAAAAGCATCGACGGGTAAATGATAAAGTCAATAAAGTAATCTTTCAAAAGACGGAATAACTCGATATATATGATCATGGATATCCTAATGATTCATATTCTATACATGTGTGTGATATATATATATATATATATATATATATATATATATATATATATATATATATATAGATAGATAGATAGATATATACGTGTCATTCATGTACATGAATTATGCCTAGAATTTTGTCAATTTGCCAGTGTCTTCACAAGAATTAACGAAGAGAGGTTGGATTTTAGCCTCATGGATGCATCTTCTAAACACATAATTATGTATAATTTCTTGCCTTTTGGTGCTTGTCACGTTTCTATGTCTTCTCATGTGCAAGCTATCGACATAATAGAGACGATGTAGAGTAGTGCTAGTGAGCCAACATGCACCAAGCTGACACGATCGATATGAATTATTTGATGCAAACTTAATTATCCATTTATGGAGTAAATAAGAACACGCCAATGATAAGTGTTATTCAACTCGCTACAAATTAGAAGATCAGTGACACAACAAGGTAGGCCATTGGTAGTGGTTTTAGTTATTTGTGCTTGGGATTATGGCAGCATGCATCTGACCAAGCAATGGTGTTGCTGAACTTGCGCAATGATGAGAAATCCAAGATATTGATTAAGCCCGACCGAAATGATGATTCCGTTTGAGGGTGACTATTATTATTAGCCAGCTTTTGAGACAAATCTCTCTCTCTCTCTCTTACCTTGTGTTGTGATGATGATATCTAGCATTACCTCGGAGACAAGTGAAATTAAAAATGTGCTTTGGTAAATCAAACCATTAATTAAGATATAAAGCATATGGGATTTCAGTCCTTAAGGCCGCTTTTAGGTGACATCCATCATTGTAATGATTCCCATAAAAAACCTCATTCTAAAAGTCCTAGAAGGAAAGCATGTGAATTAACCAAAAGAAAAGAAAAAAAGAAGATGAAAGCCCTTCGTACACACACAAGCTTCCTGACATAAAGCACTAATAATGTATAACTGGTATCATTTTCTTCTTTTTCTTTTTCCCTTTCTCCCCCAGAAAATGGTGCCCCAGCAGCATGAACTCATGGGTCTCTTCATCACACGTTCTCCGTAGATGAAGGGAGAAGAAGAGGCTGAGTGAGTGATGTTTTGGCATGGCTTGCGGCTCTGATGCCACTGTGCTCTGCCGTGGACGTCATCGCAACCTGTTCCTTTGCAAACTTCCTCTCTTCGTTTTTGCCCCACAACACAAAGTACAGTCCCACGACGATCAACACTGCTCCTATGATCCTACAACACAAATTCCACCCACAAAACCACTAACAATCAATATCGAAGCGACTTTTCTTTTTTCGCAATAAAGTAGCGTATGCGTAAAAGATAAACCAAAAACAGACACGGCACCTTCCATTCGATTAAAATTTTTAACACTTTTTTAAGCCCTCTAGAACGCGGAATCATTAAAACATGCTCCTCCGGATTTCTTAGCCTTTTCTACGTTGAGTCACTTCTCACCCAGGCTTCAACTTCAACCCTACCTAAGCTCTAGCTTACTTATACTTTAGTGGGTTTCATTTGTCGTTTTCCAAGTGGTCCTCTTTTCAGACTCAACATTGCTAATTTTCTATCATCGATCTCATTTTAACGTTCATACAGTACTTTCTTCTTTTATCAATTTTATAGTAACATATGTTAATGATCGAAGTTGTTAAGCACAGAAAAAGTATCAAACATTTATTTTAATTTTCACACCTTACTTTTGTGTCACATTTCTTTGATCCTTTAATTATGCATGACACTGATTTTTTATTCCTAAGCTAACACAAACCCTATTTCACATGTGAAATGGACAATTTTCGTAAAAAGAAATAAAAATATATTATTCTATGAAAAATGAAGAGGATAAGCAAGAGGGCAAACCCTCCCAAGTAGAACTCTTCGCCTAAAGCAAGGGAAGCCATAATCGCGACAACAAGAGTTTGAACAGGTTGATACACAGCTACGAACACAGGGCCACCTCTGTCAATGCACCATATCTGTACAGCGAAGGCAATTCCAGATGCCACCACTCCCTGCAATGTATAATCCAAATTTTTATAATATCACAATATGTTCGAACGGGTACCCTCAATTATATCTCCACCATTATTGCAGGAATACTTTTCAATAATGCATCTCGTTAATCCTTTCACCACTATCCAATACAGACAGCTATGGATATAAATTCTTTATTGCACACAATTTAACTTAATTATAATTAAAGCAACCAACTTTGTCCAGTTTCCATGAAATGAGGTTGGGCTAGAGGGAAATGTTTTTGCATATTATTAATTCTTACGCGCTTTAGATTAATTTAAAAAGACTTAAAGTAACATGTTTTTAATTGAAAAAAGCAAAAACAGAGATTTTGTGAAAAAATTAATTAAAGGATCTTTAATTTTGAAAAGAATAAATATTTATGTGAAAGCTAAAGAAGACATATCAAATGATAGACCGTTTATTAATGTAAGAGTAAAGCGAATCAATATTTTTTTATTAGAAAACTATAAGAGATAAGGGAATAAAATGATTTAAATATATATATATATATATATATATATATATATATATATATATATATATATATATATATCAAGTGTCTCTTTTAAATAATTATATTACTTTGAAAAAATTGATTAAGTACAATTGCATAATCCAAATATATAACTCTTAACGTGTCTCTATCATCAAAATCTCTTCCATTCTTATTTTGTTAAACAAGGTGAGGACATAAAACATAGAGTAAAATTAAAAAGAAATGTTATTATTGAAATTAGAATGGAGGTGCAAAAACAAGAGGGTGGTTAAAGTTACTGACCGCATAGAAGATGGTGAAAACTTCTCCACCAGAGTGGAAAATCCAAGCCTGGGCATCTCTTTCAACGATGAGAGCAATGACGAAGAATTGGATGAGGCCAAAGAAACATGTATACGAAGTGACAGAGAGGCGAGCAGGGTACTTCTTGAGTACAGGTGCTTGCAACACAAGCCAAGCAGACCAGGACAAGCAGTGTCCTATGAGGAAGAGGCACCCGAGGGTCCAGTTCTTTCCCTTCGCATCTCCGAGTGAGAGTGAACCAAAGTCAATTACTGGGCTAGCGTGCAGTGGTGGAGTTGGGGTATATATTGTTGGACCCTTGTATAGGGTAATCACCGTTGCCCCAGCCACACAGAATATGGTTCCCGCCACCTTCGCTATCCCATCCTTTCGGTTCAGCCGAACTTGCTCTATCCTGAAAATATTTATATTTCATGTTAATTATAACATCATCTCATACATGTATGCACACCCAGACTTAGCCTTAGGCGTGCATATTATATATCAGTAACCATATCAATATCCAAATGTGTGCGTGCGTGATGATGGTGCAACGATTGATTAAGGGCTTGCCTGAGTATGGCTGCCATGAGAAATGTAATGGCTGGGACGGAGTTTTGTATCGCTGATGCGAAGGTTGGGGATGTGTTGTCCAAGCCAAGCAAGTAGAAACCTTGGTTGGCAGTAATCCTGTGTAATGTAAAAAGTATTATTAGTATTGATTTAAGACCAACGCAGTGAATTGTCTCAGATTATAGTACGGTGCTCAATTCCTTCTCCTCTTTTTCTTTTTCTTAAAAGGGAAAAGATTTTTTTGACACCCAATTGGACGCGCGTGATGTGAAAATTTTACATACCCGACAAGCGCCAGAAGAAAGAACTGTAGGAGGAAGTTTAGAGTAATGGCAGGCCTCTCCTTCCTGGACAAAACAATATTATAAGCATAAATATATTGAACATTGCAAAACAAACTGGTGCTGAGAGAGACAGATGATCGTCACTGGAAAGATTTACAAAATTTTTATATATATTATGGGTGTGATTAATTAATTGGTTTGTTTTGCTATGTTATGTAATGTTAAAGGAAGTAGCATAGTAACTAACTTTTCCAAGAAGTAGGCAAAAGGAAGGAGAAGGAGAAAAGCAATAATGTTGCGGTAGACTGGGAAAACAAGTTTGCTAATGCCCATGTTAAGGGCAGCTCTAGAGACCACATGGAAGCCGGCGTAGCCAAACTGCAGGGCCAACATGGCCGCATGCAGCTGAACCCGTTCCGGGATGGAGCACCACATTCTAGTGGACGAGGAGGCTGAGCCAGAATCAGCCATTGAAGAGAGGTAAACAAAAGAAGAAATATATATGAAGTAATAATTGAGGCCTAGCTAGGTGATAGCTTTGGTTGATAGTAAAAGAAAGGGAGGGAAGTGGTGAAGAGGAGAGGGAAGAGTTAGGATATAAATATAGTGAAGAGAGAGTGAGGGAAAGAAGTAGATTGTAGAAGCAGTGCAATAGGTATGACCCACAGTCACCCTAAAAAGGCGTTATGTCAACTGTTGTAGCCTTCAAATGTTTTTGGTTGTCTCCCACATTCTTTGCTCCATTCCACCCTCCTTCGCTGACAAGACAACCCTCACCGCACTTGCTTTCAAATTAAACATCAAATTCAGAAAAGAAATAATAATAATAATAATAAAAGAAAAAAGGAGTGATGAGGGTGTGAGTCAGGTCAGGTGTGTGTGTTTGAGCGAGCCAGAAATTATGAGAAAGAGAAATCGAAGTGGAAGAGAAGAGATTATTAGTATGTAATGAAAGAAATTAATTAAGATGGATGGGGTTTGACACCATGCCAATAATGATGATTGTTTGTTGAGGAATGGCTGAGCCGCCATCGATAGATAGCGCGCACGAGTGGAGTGGTGGATGCCCCCATGCGTTGTTCTCATCCCCATGAAAGCCTAAAACCCCACCACACTCCCCCACCCTGCAACCCCTTTTTTCCTATTCAATAATAACTTATTACAGAGTGTGTAAGTGTTTGCATTTTATTATATACCAACACCGGTCTCCAAAGTAAACAATAGTACTGTGCTAACCTCTTTTTTCTGGTACTGCCATTATAAAATTCACGAAACAGTACCATATGTATAAATATATGCAGAAATATTTTGCAGCTACTTCCTCCACTATACTGAAAAAGGAAGATAATGAAGTGTTCCCACTCCCCAAGTTTGCATAATATGCGGATTGGTTGCTGAAATCATCCCCTTCGCTTTTAACAGACATAATGCCGCCCCTCCCTCCCCTTTTTGAATCACACCCTTCAAAAAACTTAACCCTAGTTAGCCTTTTTCTAACATCTTTCTTCTTTTCTTAAACAATCGCACATTATTTTCACTTGGTTAAATTTATATGTACTCGTGAATCAGATACATTAACTATAACATATTTTATTTGTAATATACATTTTTCTATTTTTATCACTCAAATTTTCTGACAGAGTAATAAAGTGTAAAGTTTAACACGAATAAGGAGAGATATGAATTTGTTTAACATTTGTTCCGGGAAATATTTGAAAATTGATTAATTTCAAAATAAAGCGATTTATATTTACGTGTTTTCATTCTTAAATCAGGTTATCGGCATAACTCAACATAAAACTTTTACATATAACAAAAGAGAGATACTTGAAGTTTGACAGACTCTAATTCTGAATCCAAAATCATTTGTTAGATGATCCAACATGATAATAAGGTAACAAGAAACATGATGTAAAGTAAATTATTTTGGTTAGAAGATGAAGATTGGATTGGGGTGTATCCTTTGACCGGAGAGGCGAGGTGATATGATGTGTGGAAACATAATATAAAAGAGACCGCCTGCATGCAGCGGTCGCATACCACCCTGACCAAGCCAGTTGGGGGTCTTAATTCCTTATGCCATGCATAAGTACACACCTGACACCTAAGCTTCACATTTTTCTCTGCACCACAACACAGAATCTTCATCTTTCCATTCCTTTCACTACTCTTTCTCTGCCTCCAAATTCCACTTCTTCTCTGCTCCACTCCATGGACACTAGACGCCATCTTATTCAACTCAAAATTATATATGTAATCATATTAATCTTATTCAATTTGTTTTTATTACAAAATACATAGTAATCTACAAAGAGTGCGTTAACAATATTCATTAGATTTTTAAATATTAATTGTGTGTGCTCGTGAGTCCCAAATTATTTGAAAGATGAGATTAAAGATAATTCATATATAATTTTTCTCACTCAATCTATTAAAATGTCTTTTAAAAATAAAATAAATAATACTTTAAATGAAAATTTGATTTTAATAATATTATAATAATAAAGTTGAGGCTTAAAAAATTATATATATATATATATATATATATATATATATATATATATTATTGAAACTTCCATCTATATCTTTTTCTTAATACTCAGTAATTGTGCGTGTAACTTGTTACAAGATTCAACACTGCGCGCGCACATAGAAAAGGTGTAACTTGCAAGGATTAATTGATTTCAAAGAGTGACGCTGTCACTGCATGTGCACAGATAGTACAAGTGGCAAACTAAGGAAGCAAACACTTGTGGTCCAAACCCTTTATGCACTATCGATTCATCCATTCAACTAGGTAAAGAAATATTAACACTTAAAAAATAATTAATGTATTTTTCTATTTTCCTATTTTCCTATTTATATTAATTATCACAGATGTGTAATTACATCTATGTTTTCACTCATGTTATATACTTATAAATTTAAGCATGGTAAGAAACAAAAAACTGAATTGTTTAAATACGGTAACCATAGTTTAATTCTTCATCACGAATATGGTGATGGAATGTCAACTGGAGCTATCTTTAACACCAAAAGAGTATAACACTTAAAATATGTTGATAAACTTGCAACATTAAAAAAACTGTCTAACTAGACTTTTTTTAATCTAAATGTGAGTAATTTAGTTTTATTTTAAAAATTTTAAAACTAGTTTTAGAGAGTAATTTTAAAATTTTATTTTCAAAAAAAGTTATTTAATAAAAATCAATGTGTTATTAGGAAGGATATGATTATTAATTAAGAAAGATGATTAGGAGAAGGTAATGATAATGTTACGGGTAAACAGCGATGATTAAAATGTTGAAAAAAGAGGGAATTCAAAACGGAATAAAATCGATTGGGAGTTGAATTGATGGGAGGGACGCTATTCCTCCCCATGCCTTGCCCTGCCCCAACTTCATCAATGTGCTTTCCACGTTCCATTCATTGCTTAGTTCCCACTGATTACCATGTGCATTTTCTTTTACTCATCTTCAACATCCACATTTTTAGGAGTACTTCTTCTGGTTTCTTCTCACATTATCACACTTGTTATATCTGAATATCACCATTCCATCGTTACTTCATCCACTAATCTCCGCCACAAAATATTTGATGCAATTTATAGACATTAATCAATCACACTCACTCTCGCTCCTAGTTCACAAAATTTAAATATTAACTGAAATTTTACTCTAAATTATGAGCTTCCATGAAAATGAATATTACCTAGAGCATTGGTAAGTGTATATATTAGCGATGACAATGTTTGTTGAATGGGGTAGATGCATGAAAGGAGTGGCACAAACATTGAACCTTAATTTGTAGGTGCATGATAGAGATTTGAAAGGGAATGCTGAGCAGAAGAGCCTAAAAGGAAACCTCAATTGTAATTTGTTGCTGGCAAAGCCATTTCAATTTCAGAAGTATGTTTGCTTTATCGCAGATATTTGTCTATGTGAATGTGAATGATAGATATTGATTAATAGGTGCATGACCCACTCCTCACTCTGCAGGAAAAGGCAAAAGCATTACTCTTAGCTTTCGAGATTCAAACAAACAACCATACATAGTTGAACGCTATACGCTTTAGAACTTCAACCAAACCAAATTTTCCATAAAAATAAAATAAAATTATTTTGGTTAAAATATGCATACATTTAGCAAAGAATATTCCACGATGTATATACTACGTTTATGTTTTAGTATTTCTTCTCTCTCTTCTTTTTATTTTAGATTTCCTTAAACTTTTAAAATTATTCGCCTGAAAATTTAATTTCACATTTATTTTTCTTCCTAGTGGATTCTGCATCTGATTAGATAGGGCCTCCACGTAAAAATTTGAAATTAAGTTGCGTGAGCGATAAGAACTTAAGCCCATACTTAGGAAAAAAATAATAATAATGTAATGCGTTTTGGTGCTAATTATTTCCAACCATACCTTTTTGACCAGATAATTTTCGTCATGATTAAGAGTTGAAATCGTATTCTTCGGTGTCAATCTGGACAAAAATTCATTTTTTTTCGAATCTCACCCTTTCCCTATATATTATAACTGTTCATCCCACCGGGTTCAAACCCACACCAAAAGTTTTTCAATGAATAATTAGAAAAACGCAAGTAATGAAGAGCTTTACAAATAATGTAAAAGATGTTAAAAAAAAAAAGTAACTTTGGTAAATTAACTTCTTTTATTAACTTCAAAAAACATTTAAAGGAATGACAATTATACTTGTTTAAGGTAGGTAGTTGAGTCAATGGTGTTAGACTCTCACTTGGTATATTAAATTTCTTTTTATAGATAGTTTACTATTTCATAGAAAAAATCTTTAAAAATAAATGAAGAGTTTTTAAGTATGATTAAATTTAAAATTAGATATTAGGTTCATGATCAGCCAAAACAACTAAAGATTATAAAACACTTCAAAACTTACTATGATGATTAAAAAGTGAGATATTTCAAATGAAAAAGAGAGAAACACTTAAAGCGGAAGATAAATGGAGAAAAGTAAAACTAATAAAATTAACTTTAAATCCTGATAGTAAAATTAAAAGAAGACAAGGCGTTGTTTAATAGCATATAGTTAAAGTGAATAAAAAGTAGGAGAGTGAAGTGTTTCAAATAAATAATAAGAGAGTGAAAGATAGAAAAATCAACTTACAATCTTTAAACTAATAATGAAATCAATTATAAATAGATAATGTTGAAATGAAAAATAATGAAGTAAAAAAATCATATTTAGTTTTTCAAAAACTGTTTTTTATTATGTATATTAGAATTCATAATGTCTTGTGTTATATATTTATCACAAAACCATATAAAGTTTCATACTTACACTTCTCTTTATTTTCTTTCTTGACCCCTCTTAGAATTCAAATATCTGTCTATAATTTTGTCTGTGTTTCAATGAATGATGATGAGTGTGTTGGAGGATATTTCCTTGTGCATGCAAAGAATGTCGTGAATGGGTAGGGCAGGGAGCATTAATGACAACATATCTCTCTCTATCTCTCTCTTCGTTTATTAGGGATGCCACTTGAGGAATCCACGTTCATGGGAGTGATAAGTTAAGGTCCTGGAAATTCCATTAATCTGTTTGGTGGGACACGCACACCCACACTCACCATGCAAGCTAGCAAAGCTAGGTCTACATGAAGTTGATCTCTCGCTTAAGGTTGATGGGGAGATGGTATTGGAATCTTTAAGGAGAGAAAAGGTGACTCCAAAAGTCTTCAGACCTCACAAACAAGATTCCTAGTTGATTTCCACGATTGAATTAGATGGATGGTTTTGTGCGTGGGTGACCCAATCGTGTTTCACACATTCAAAATTCCACTTGATGATGCATTCTATCTAATAACCATATTCATTCATAACTGGTGTATGCGTTTCACACCAGATGCAACCTAAGCCTGCTAACTAACTACCTACCGTCAAAATATTGCAGTATGCAAACTTCATTCACCCAACTTCACATCGCAGTACATAACCTACCCGTAGATGCACGTTGTTTAGGATACCAAATAATCAACACGCTAAATCATGCCATGCACACATGACTCAAGCTAAATATATTAATGTCTATTTTATAAGCTCCAATTCTCAACGATATTAATTGCGTGGAGGGATAAGAACATGCTAAAATAAAAAAAAAAAATTGTATTTTTTACCTACCCGCCCAACTCAGGTTATTGTTGAGGGAAATAGTCACAGTGACGGGTACAAATTTATTAAGGATATTATTTTATATTATTATTAATTATTTTTATTTTATTATATTTGATTATTGTTTGATCAATTATTATATCTTGGTCCATTGTTATTTTACATCATTCCTTTGTCTAAAAAGTGAGTTAAGTGTGGAAGTAATTTTTACACGTTCTATCTTTTCTTAAAAGAAAGAGTTTCATGTGGAGACTCAAAAATCGACCAATCGATTTAATCTTTTTATCTTATTGATCACTTAGCTCAGTAAGAATATTTAGCGTCCATCGTGAAACCGAGAGTGAATCTTGCTGCATTCATATATATCCCTTAGTCTCGATCGAAAGGTTATGTTTCGATACGAGTACTATATTACTTGAAAGTCAAGGTGAATGATAATTTATATATATTTTTCTTCTTTAATATAGTGAGATATCTCGTTAAAGACAAAATTATGATAAGAGAACTCCAAAATAATGAGAATTATATAGGACATGATATTGAAATATATTTTTTTAATAAGTTAAAATTAGATTATATTTAAGTTAATTTTATAGAAACTTACTCAAATTATTTTCTATAAAAACTTTTTTTTAATTTACGCTCCTTTTGTGTCATTTTAGTAATTATGCAAACACGAGTCAGATGATTAAACTGAAATAATTATAAAGTGAAATTTATAGATATAAGATATCATTATTTACTAATTTACTTGAAAAAGAGTACCTTTAAAAATAAAAGACGCTGTAAAATTTAGCATTATATTATATTAAAAATTAATCCTGCCCACGTGTACACATTTCATTGTAAAATTTTCGAATGATATGAATTCAAACACACATCTTAATCATATGCAATGACTCAATGAATTCCATCAAAATCAACTATACTTTAAACTAGACAAATGCCAAATACCAGTCTAAATCGGCATAGAGAAAAATCCGATCTAACAACCCTGTGCCTGCATATTTGTTGATCACATCCGAAAGGGATGCGTAATCCTTATGGCGTTGATTTACATATACTGATCCCGACTACCACTGGCACTCAATTTTCTAATCCAATTTTCAACCGAACCATAAATGAAAAATTGCATGGAAGCATGTTTTCTTTATCCTATTTAGAATATTCTCTGCTTTTTCTTGGATAGACCAAATTGAACAGTTGTGTTGTACAACGAAGTGGGTTTTAATCAAATGTGGCAAATGCATTTCCATTCAACGATTCTTAAAGTCATCATCACTTTCACTTTAGTCAAATTTTGGCACATACATTTTCAATTATTGAAGAGCCCAACATCTTAAACTTGTACATACTTGACATAAATTACATTAGGATTTGAAGCAAAGAGGACAAAGAATTTTAAAAAGTTTTCATTTCTCATCTCCTATTAAAGAAATCAGTTATAAAACTTATGCGTCTATTCCCTCACCCCTTTTTCCCTAAAGCAGCCTAGCACACAACTAAGCCGCATAAAACTAGTGCTGATGCATGATGGATCTCTCTTTTTTGACAAAAATCATTTTGTGAAGCAGAAATATTCAATTATTCAGAAATAATTACAATATTTCTTTTACCATGTCACAAATGGATTAAATTAAAGATTAATTTCATCCTAAATATTATATCTGTCGATGACTTCAATGAATAAATTGTCTCCACAGTCTGTAAGTGCATGGGGCAAAGATATTCTACACAACCAGGCAACATATTATTTTTTTCGTTACTAAATTTCTATTTGAATGTATACAACTGCCTCTTTGACAAGTTATCCGTAAGAAAGACATGAACTAAGTATTCTTCGCAGTTCAGATAAACAGTTAGGGATTGTTTGACCACCAACGATTCTTTCTTCCATCACCCTATTTTACTCTAAACATGTTCACTCTTCTCAGCTAAGAGAAAGAGACAGAATTTCGTTTATGGAAGGAGTTAGAATAATAGGAATCTAAAGAACAGAACACTCATTCAGCGTTTGTATCTTCAACAGATTTCTTGTACTCAGGCTTCAGCTCATAAGTTCCTTGATTGGCACCTCTTTTATTGTAAACACACAGTTCATTCAGAATCTCTTTCAAGAATTGCTGCAAAAGAAAAAGTAACAAGTTAATTCAGGATCTTTCAAAAATTGCTGCAAAAGAAAAAGGCAGTGTGCACGTGGTGTGTGTGCACGCACTACAACCACAAACATCAAGTTAGGAAGTCAAAAAATAGCAGAAAAGCATACAGCAGGTTGATCAGTCTCTTGGACAAGCTGTTTGAGGGCCCAATTAGGCTGCCTTTCAAATAGCTTGAACATTATATCCTCCAGCTCTCCCCGATCTCTTCTTGTTCTCTTTGTATCAGATTGTTTAACTGGCTGTGTCTTCTTCTTGTCCTGTGAATGTTTCATGAGAATAAGGGAAAAAACAAAACTCAAAATTATTCTCGTTCATACACACATTTGAGGGGCCAAACTTTCTCCTTGAAACAATTTTTATCCATACTCCAATAAATTTTCATCGAGAAAACATGAATCTATGGTATAATTATCTCATAATTTATGACTGGCGCTATATCGTAATGCTTTTAAAAAGCCGTGTACTTGAACGTTCTAATCATTTACTTAAAGATTTCAACACTGGCCAGAAATTTCATGCAAGCAAAAGTTACAGATAGAATCAGTTAGAAGCATGTCAGCAACATGTCCAAGAGATTTTTTTTTTGTATACATTATTTACCTTGGAGTTGGATGAAACTAGACCAATCATTCCGGGCATTGGCCTCATTAGAACTCCACGATCATTATCAATAACCTTCCAATCGAGTCAAGAGAAACAGAGAAAGAGAATCAATTATTTAATCAGACAGAAAGCAAGAAATGTTAAGGGACAATTAAATAATAAACATGCACAAATACCTGTATTTGTCGATTTTTAATCATGGATCTGTTTGTCCTCTCCCGGCACAATTTACCATACTCTTCAATGTTTTCACCGTGGGGCTTCATATCAAACTTATGTTCTACTTTCCCTTCCATTGCAACCTTGCCACCTAAAATAAAATATCAAGGCTGTTATTTAACTCAAGGAAGCTAAGTTTCAATGACAAAAAGGGGGAAAAGTACTCTGTATCTACAAGTATTATTTCATCCATTTTAAATTATTAAATATATCACAATACAGTTACCACTTGCCATGTCATAATAAAGCAAATTATTTAGAATTTTCAACAAATGAAACTTAAAGGTATTGGCACTTAATAATCCTAAATCTCTCTAAGCAACCCACATGCATATGCTATTATACTTTGATGACTTCGATAGAAATATTAGCACATTACACAAAAAAAATTCAGTGAAATAATTTGTCATTGGTGTTTAGTGTCCATTAATGCTAATTTAAATTAAACAATGGATTTTCGCTTAAACTCAAGCACCTTCCAGCCATGTTGCATGGGTACAAATTAGGTTCAGATAAGGGTACACAACAAGTCATTTTTGAAAAAATTGAATCACAGATTCGTTAAAATTAATTTTAATATATATAAATATTGTAGTTAATTATAAATATGATTAAATTTTATAGATGAAGATCAAAACATAAATAAACATAATTTACAATGTAATATGAAATCAACATGACCAAAACATATCTCATAATAAAATACTACAATATGTAAACTTTAACAAATATTGTATAGGATCTAAACATAAGTATGATATCATACTTTAACAGTTTTAATCTCATCATTTTCTTCTCTATCATCTTTGAAAAGATTTCTTTCAAATCTGATTCATCAAGAAAAATACTAGCAAACCTCAAAAGCCTCAGTCCCTTCAAATGTGTGTATCTGATTCATCTCTACCAATTTCTCATTCATCTCTTTATAACTGCTGGGTTTATTTACAACAGGGCTTACCCAAGTCGTATTATCCTATCCATAAAATTTGAGGCCCGGTAGTTGAAAGTGGCTTAATTTCTTAATTTCATTTATAACTGTCCATCTGGGATAGTGGGGGGAGAGCCCTATGTATTAAATTTAAGTCATTTTACTAGACAGAGGGCAGTGACATAATTTCTTAATTTAATCATAGCAATCCATCTTGAATGCGACTCAGATTAGCCAATTCCAAAATTAGTATAGTGACGTAACATACAGCTTCAGCCGCCATACCAAGTAGGAAATATGCAAACAACTTCTGACATACTTATCAGGTTCTAATCAAGAAGTATTCTGAATTTAAGGCACATTCAACATTAATAATCTAATCATATCTCAAAGACAAAATCATGATAGCTTAAAATCACGTTAAGTCCTCAATTATGCTACACAAAATAGTTCTTTATAAACATTTCTGGTACATGTCATCACGGCAATCAAACTCTAGGATTAACTCACAAACTCGAACAAGTTTACAAGTTTGCTCAATGGATATGAGTCAACTCATTTGTAAACTCGTTTTTTTGTAGTAGACTCAATAGACTTAGGGTAGACTCAGGGTGGACTCTGTTAATTTGGAGATGATGTCATTAGAGGATTAAAGACAGAAACTTGAAGACATTTGTCCATTTATTTAATTGTTGTGACTTTAAGGGCTTTTGTTTTGATGGTGTATGAACTTATTTTAGTGTAGTTTGAACTTATACAGTAGTCATGCAGTACTAAACTTAGTTATTTTAGAATTGTGAAATTATTGATTACCATCTTGCATGGTGTTGAGATGCAGCTCCTACAAGTTAACAAAAATACTCAAATTTCATAAACCATGCAAATCATAGTTAATCGCAACAATTAACAAAGGTTCTGCTACTACACCTCTGGTATTTGAATTGCAAAAAAAACAATTACAATTGTAAAGAGACAATGATTCACTTTGGCAAGATAAGGGTATAACTGCCATGCCATGCCAGGTCATAGAAGTGGAGGAATTTCCTATCTGTAACATTCTAGAGAGTTGCCATTTAAGTGGCCACTATTGAGTATTGATGGTGGTTTTAATCTCCTTAGAAAATGAAAATGACACATTTCCCTTTAAACTACTGTAACACTTATTTTGCAACTACTGTAACTTTATTTGAAACATTTCCTCTGTCAATCTGTGTTTACTCTAAATGCTCTCTAAACTTAAAAAAGAGAACTCACATGAAACAAAATACTCCCAGTTTACATTAAACCCTTTCATTGCTAAAAATCAAACTAATTGTAAATTATCAACAAAATGACAGCAAAAAACTACTAATAAGCAAGCATCCTGCAGTAGGGCTTAAATCTCAAAACACAATTAGCAGTGGCAAAGCTAGAATTGAACTTTCAAGGGGACCAGGGACAAAGCTATAACAATTTGTATTTGTGAGAATACATGAAGAAAGACCTTAGTAAGAGAAGTGCTTTGATTATAAGTTTTCAACCAAATCCATATTTGATAAAAGTACAATAAAAACAGAAACAAAACATAACAAAGAACAGTATCAGAGTAAAAAATTTAATATATACATGGTAGTTGAATCAGGATTCAAGTAATGAATCAGAGGGCTCATAATTGGAGCGTACATTCATGATTAATAATAAAACATCGCATTTGCAAATTAAGAAAGACATATTTTAGCACATATTCATGAATTCGGTTAAAATTTGTTATAATAGAATAATATTAAAATTCAAAATAAATACTCACCTGACAATTTATAATAAATATTGCACTATTACATTAATTATACATTAATTATATATTAATTAAATATTTGTATTTGAAAAACAGTAACAAAGTTTACTATATTTTATATAGACTTAATGATAAAAAGATAGTAAACAGTAGTTGAAATAAAAAATTATCACCTTTAAATATTTTCTATTTTGTACAAGACATTTGACAATATTTAAATATCTAGTAAACAGATAAAAGTTAAATTTGGTGGTTCAAAGTTGAACCACAGTATGTCTTGCAATTAAGTAAAAGGAAATACAATACACTATCATATAGGCTTAGGGTTGCAAATAGGGCGTCTCTCTATCCTATCACACTAGAAGCAGCTGCAGCCATCAGCAGAATAGAAGTTAGAACTGTGGAGCAGTGCAATATACCCACTCTGACTGCCCTTTTCATAACCGCTCCAGCAAGGGGCGATGGGCATTGGAGGAGTGGCCAGGCGCCACAAACTCTTGTCAGACCTCACAGAACCTATACAAGCCTCAATATTAGCAATTTGTGCCTGATTTATGGTGTGATCCAAGCACCAAAATGATTTGCTTACAAGATCATATTGCTAGCTGCTGAAATGGTATTCAATTGGACATATGGTATCACAAATTATGGATATGGATAACCATGACTATATATATCTTATGTTAGAGAGCTGAGAAACACTATAGGCTTTGAAGAACCAGTAAATAACAACTAACACAATTTATCTCTAAAATGCTGCCAATTTATTACATGCATTAAGGGAAAAGGGTACCCTCTGCTCTGCTCTTGATAGAACATGCGTCAATACATTACTAACATAACTAATTTAATAATCATAAATACAACTCATTAGTGGCTGAACAATAACATAATTTTTTAACCATAGTCCTGTTGACAATACAACTTTATCTTGTAAGGCTATGCATTAAAAATATAAGTAGAAAATAAAATAGGCATTTTATTATCGATAAGTAGTTATGTACCAAATATGGATGGATCATGTTCTTGAAATTGCTACTGATGAATAAAAACTAGAACTTACATAAACCTGAGATTACGATTCTCACCTTGGCTAGTCTCAGAGAAGACACACATAGGAACAAAGTCTTTAAACATATTCAATGAATAAGTTTTTGGCATATTTACAGCTTCAGAGCCAGCCATCTCCATTGTAAACTGTCATAATCAAGGAGCTATAAAATCAATATCTCACATGAAGACAAGCAACAAATATTAATCAGAACAGAAGCTCTTATCTTTATTGTGACAAATCTAGAAGCAGAATCTTCATTCATCTTGTGCAGTCAAAAAAATTGGGAAAATAGTACAAAAATATCAAATAAGCAATATTAAAATACAGAATTTATTTGCTTTAAAATCACTTGTCACGTGGTGGAACCCATTATTAAAAGGAAAAAAAATGAATGGATTTGCAAATCATATTCCACATTTGGAATAACTTAAAAATGAATAGAATTCATTTTAATTAAATAACTTACTCCATTGCCCTTACTTAGAATATGTAAAATAGGTAAATTAATAAGAAAAAATTTGTCCGGTCTTACTATTAAAATCAAAGTAAACCCATACAAATTTGTAGATTTCAAATATACACCATAGTCAACCAATAGCATCAATCTCTGATTATACATATATACCATATATTACCACATTAAATAAATGGTACGCAAGGGGTATACTTGGTTGGTACACTGGGGCATGCTTGTGGTGAAACTCCAAGTTTCCAAAAAGATAAGTTTATATGCACTGACGGATCTTAACCATTGATCTTGAGGGACCAAATAATATATTATTAATAAATAATAAATAAATATAAAAGGAAGAATGAAGATGAAATGGTAAAAAGATAAAATTGTAGATATATACTTAAATATATTAAATGATCATTAAGTTTGAAGAGAACAAAATTATAAATTACATGAGAGTTACAAAACTGAGGAGAGACTCAGAGGATAAAATTGTAAATATACACGTAAATATATTAAATGTTTATTAAGTTTGAGGGGGCCAAAATCATAAATTATATGAGAGTTACAAAACTTTAGGAGGGTCACGATCCCCCTCAACTCCCAAGAAGATCCACCACTTTATATGCACACTCTCTAAATGGAGCAGAAATGCAGGTAAACTCATTTTCAGGTGAAATTGTGTAAACTCGCTTTGCATTGGTCAATCTCACAAGTTCTACGTGAGGTGTGCAAGTCCTTTAAGGCTCCCCTTTCAGAGAAAAACCGCAACCTTTTGTGCTGTTTGGAGGCACAATAAAGACTGAGTTTCAGGAGTGTTAAGGCTCATGCGAAATATGTTCCAAAGATGCTGGTCCAAGGCACAATTCTCTCTGTTCTTGCCTTTCCTTTATTTGTCTGATCTGATTATCTCATTTTAGGATAATGGGTGTCTACGTCAAATCTAGCAGGTGAAACAAAAAATTAGTCACAATTACTCATTTGGCCAGTTGATTAGAGGAGGCAAATTAGTTATAGAGAAAGAGTATGACAGGGGGAAGGCATAAGAGGTGGGCAGAGTGAGAGTCACCTCTTCTTTAAGAAGCATTAGTTTTAGGATTAGAGGGGTCATCTTCTGTAATAGTTTTGTTTTAACAATCAATAGTACTGTTGTGTTTCTATTGAATCTGGTTCCTATCATCTTTTCACGTCTGTTTGCAGGTGTAATTCTGTTCTCTCCTTTCAACTGTATGTCTGCTTTCATTGTATCTGTTTCTCCCTGGTCTCCTGTTTTCATCTGATCCTAGGCTTGATTCCGTAAAAGCTTCTGTTCAGATAAATGCCAAATACCTCATTCATCTATTCCCTGGTTTGATTTATGCAAATATTCATGTGCTCCATTCATTTTTATCTGTTATTCCAAACCCTAATCTCTGATATCATAATATGTCTGTTTCACTGAACAACTCTTCATTCGAATGTTTGTTTTGGCTTCATACAATTTTTACCCCCAAAATTCATAGAAAATATTCCCTTCGAGTTCTTTCACCTCCAATCTTGCTCGTTGCCTTTTCATTGAATAAACTTTGAGTTCTGTATAACATATTATAATGTGTTGTGTTCTATATGAGTTAAAAGGATTTATGTTTATACATAAGTTATTTATAGATTTTAGGTGAACTCTAGCAAGTTTATGAATAGTCTAAAGAAAATTTCACAAGTTCATGTAGACTGACAAGTTTGATAGCCTTGCACTTGGGACTCTAAACTTATCCCAATGCAGATACTAACTGTGCCGTGGAAAGAGCTCGCTATGTTGAGAGTACAAATTTAAGGAATAAAAAACCCAGTATAACAAGGCAGAGGTAATCATGTCCTCACGTCTCCATCAGTAATGAAATGGGACAAAATCTGTTCCCACCAACAATCCTGATTTCCAATCTCTACCCATTACCTGTCTCAAATACCCACTCCACCACCATGCATAGTCTATCCAAGTTCCATACATCATTTCCCGGGAATTGGTAGGAAAATGAACCACAAGGGGGAAACCAACTACCTAACATTCAACGTTTTAGAAAAAAAGAATCCGCAACAAAAAAGAACTGCGGCCACAACGCCATTAATGAGTTCATCGCGACCACCATTCAAGGTTTTCCATAATATAAAAGGATCACAACAAAATAAAACCCCCCAACCAAACTTCAAAACCTTGGTAACATAGACAGAAAAACAAATCAATTCCCATTTGATGACCTTACCGATCATATCAATTCCAAGAATAAGTAGTTTTAAGCACATCTTTGAAGTAGTTTTTGGTCAAACACACCGTAGTAAAAAGTTAAAGTAGCTGTTATTAATTGTATATTTCCGAAATTGCATACAGCATAAGATTTTGAGAAATTTAAGACGGTAGATCGATAACCAACAAACTTAAAGTTTAAAATCCTAATGAGCGATGCAGTATCCAACTTAGATTCGATATCAATTTGAATAGCATCGAACATATGGCAATCCTTCAGATAACAAGAACAAAAGAAAATCACATAAATCTAAGGGCGTAAAAGAGAAGAAGATGGAGAACCTGCACTGCAGAGGGATCATCCTCAGGGTGGAGGGGATCGAGGGAGAGCACGACCTTAGCGAGAGGTTGGGAAGGAGGATGAGTCTGCCATGACTTGGCCACCACCAAAGGGCATTTCATCAACCACACAGATCTCTCAGCCTTCGAAGTCTCCAAGTTCGAGCTGCTACTCCCACTGTAACCATTTTCTTCATCCATCTCTCTCTCTGGTTTCTCGCAGCAGCAAAAATCAATTACAGAGTCACTTCTTGTCTGAAAACCGACACCACCCAAGTCAATTATATTTGACCTCGAGACCACCTCAGAATAAAATTACAGAGCCACTTCTTGGGCCAATATACAATAAATAGTATATAGGCCCTTACATTACGTTATTGGGCTGAACATCAGTACAGCCTCTACATGGGCTGAGTATCAGTATAGACTCATCTTGGGCCAAAAATAAAACCATTTGAACCTGAAGTATCGGCCCATAAACATCAAACAATATCTTGTTTTGTATGCTATCCAAAAAAATCTCGTCCAGTATTTAAAGAGCACAACAGAAAAAAATATCAACTACCAATGAAGTTTTTTTGTATGCTTATTGATTATATTAAAATTAAACTCTTAGCATAAATATTAATTTTATATTGTAATAGATTATTATTTTGAACTTTTTTGAACCGTTTGGTATTTTTTTAAAATAAAATTAATTGAGAAATGAAGATAAAAATAATAGATTAAAAATATACAAGTACCAGAAAAAAAGTCAAATATACACATACACATCATATAAAAGAACAATAGTTTGAAATAGCCAGTAGAAAAAAGAGTTGTCAAAACAAATTTAAATTTAAATTATAAAATATATTGAAAGAAATAAAAATATATTTAATATTAAAATAAGATATATGTATTAATTAGAGTTATAACTCTTAAAAGGGTTTAACAATATTCTTTAAAATGTTATGATTGAAAGGTAACTCCGAAAATTTTATTGTTCAATATGTTTAAGCTAATTGATATAAAGAAAAAAAATGTAGTATCCAACTAAATAAAAAATATTCTTAAGATTTGTTTTTGTTCAAGGAGTGAGGTAATTTTTCTTGCATTAACTATTTCATTTTGTTATGTTTTATTCTTATTAAATATAAGTTTTTCTCTTGACAGATATAATGATGTTTATTGTCTCTAAATAATTATTATATGTTTTGGGGTAAAAATATATTATGGCAGCATTCTAAGGAAAGAAAACAAATAAATATAAATAAATTTTTCACTCTAAATAATACTTACAAAATAAAGAAGTGTGGACAGAAACATGTAACTAGTTTATGTAATAACGAAAACATGCATCTAGTAATCCCGAATTTATATTTTACTTTACTTCGCACGTTACTGAGGTTTCGATGTTATTATTTAATTTAATTTTTTTTTAATATAATAGATATCTTCCATAAGAGTATCTATTTGAGTTAGCTAAAGTTATTATAAGTGACAAAACTTTATTTCTAAATATTTAATAAATCGTGCACATGAAAGTTAAAATCCTAAACCACTTGTTAAACTAAAATAACTTCAAATCAATAGAGTAAGTGACGGTTGTTTAACTTTAGTAGGTCCAAAAAATGAATTATTGTTTTTAACTGTCAGTAAGATATATGAAAATATGAAACATGAAAAATTAAATAATTTTATTTAAATGGTTTTTTATATTTAAAATTTTTTAAAACCTTTATATCTATCTTTATTGATAAAGTTAAACCTTATCCACAAAAATGGTTTCAAACTAAACCTTAACCTTCCCTAGTTCGACAAGTTTAATCAAACATAGGTTTTGATGTCAGAACATGCAACATGAATTGCAAGATTCCATAACGTTTTGGATTATCACGATAGCTTCCCTGGTCTCTCTACTCGAGACCATCATGCAATTTGAACATAACTCAAAGAATGAATTTTGACGTATCATTTAAAGTATTTTTTCATAAATTTAAAATAAGAAAAAACAGCTATATTTTTATCAATAAACATTTTAAATAAATATAAAAAATATTATTTTAATGAGAGTACATGAGAAAGATAGGAAAATAATATGTATCATTCAGTTAAATACTTATGATGTTTATATATCTATGCACCTACCTATATTATTATCAATTATGATTAAACTAAAATAAAATATTATAGGTTAATTTTTCAAAGTCCAAATATATAATAATTTTCGTTGGGGTTATTTCATAAATAATAATATTCAGTGTTGATCATATATAGGAAAATAATGTAAAAGAAGAAAAGAATCAAAGTTAGATATTTATTATGAGTTTTGTGTTATTTGTCATGTGTAATCTTGAAAATATAGGAGGAAAAGAGAAAAGGTGAAGGGGGATAAGTGGGCCCGGAACTTGTGGGCTAAGAAGAATCTTTATCTAAACTCAAACAATAGAGGGGCACGTTGCGACATTGCATTGGTTACATCTACAATAATCTGGTAAGGGTGCTTAAAATTCCCGAGAGGTCAAACTATTCATTGTTCTTTCTCAGCTTTCTCTTCCTCCAATGGCTACTCCCTCGCTCTGCTTCGTCTTCAGTCTCCTTTTTTTCTCCGCCACCGTAGCACCCGCCGAACGGATCGATCGTGAAGATGACCTTCTGATCCGTCAAGTGGTGTCGGACGCGGATGACCACCTGCTTAACTCTGAGCACCACTTCTCCGTCTTCAAGAGCAAGTTCGCCAAGACCTACGCCACGCAGGAGGAGCACGACTACCGCTTCAGCGTCTTCAAGAACAACTTACTCCGAGCGAAGTCGCACCAGAAGCTGGACCCCTCCGCCGTCCACGGCGTCACAAGGTTTTCCGATCTCACACCGGCGGAGTTCCGCCGCCAGTTTCTGGGCCTGAGGCCGCTCCGTCTTCCCTCCGATGCTCAGAAGGCTCCGATTCTGCCGACCAACGACCTCCCTAGCGATTTCGATTGGCGCGACCATGGAGCCGTAACTGGCGTCAAGAATCAAGGTTCGTGCGGATCGTGTTGGTCGTTTAGCGCCGTGGGAGCGTTGGAAGGTGCTCATTTTCTTTCGACCGGTGAGCTCGTGAGCCTTAGCGAACAACAACTCGTGGATTGTGATCACGAGGTTAGTCTTTATTATTTACAGGAAGTATTGTCTCCTCTTTTTACCATTTTGTCCTTCATACAGTTGCATATAACTTGATTCGACCATAGTTGTGATATATTGAAACATGATGGACCGATCAGGGGAATATTTTTTGATAATTTGAACACAGGTTGGATAGATAGGAAAATAATAAAATTGACCACCTCCGTGGTGGTCTGGTTTGTATTTTGCAAAAACATTGTGAATTAATTATGTGTCCACAACTTTATCAGTGTGATCCGGAAGAGCGTGGAGCATGTGACTCTGGTTGTAACGGTGGGTTGATGACCACCGCATTTGAGTACTCACTCAAGGCTGGTGGAGTAATGCGAGAAAAGGATTATCCTTACACTGGAAGAGACCGTGGACCCTGCAAATTTGACAAGAGCAAAATCGCTGCTTCTGTAGCTAATTTCAGCGTGGTTTCCCTGAACGAAGAACAAATTGCTGCTAATCTGGTGAAGAATGGTCCTCTTGCAGGTGACCTATTTTTTTTCCTCACTCCCTAATATTTCTAATCCCTTCCGTAGAAGGAAATGATAAAATATCTGCAGGATTGTTTAACTTCTTTGATCGTTCCCAGCCCCAGGAATTAGATATATTGAATCCCTGATATTTCCTCACTCTCTAATACTGGCTTTTGCTTTTCATTGCGCAGTTGGTATCAATGCAGTTTTTATGCAGACATATATTGGTGGCGTCTCATGCCCATACATCTGTGGCAAGCATTTGGATCATGGAGTTCTTCTGGTGGGCTATGGTGCTGGTGCTTATGCACCAATTCGGTTCAAGGAAAAGCCTTACTGGATCATAAAGAATTCATGGGGGGAGAACTGGGGAGAAAACGGATATTACAAGATCTGCAGAGGTCACAATGTATGTGGGGTGGACTCTATGGTCTCAACTGTAGCTGCGGTACATATTTCTAACCATTAAATATAAGGATGCCTAAACGTGGTAGCGGGTCACATATAGCGTGTATGTAAATAATTTGGATGATGTAATGTTATGGAGGAGGAAACTGCGAATACCATGTTTATGTTTTACTTTATTATGTAATTCTGTGCTAGCTTGTCTAGCTACAAAACATTACTCACCGTTATCGATTGTTATTGCACGTAATCTGGATTTAATGAATGTGTGTCACCACAGTTAACTTGCTACATTCCAATATCTTGCAGTAAGTAAATTGAACGTCTCCTGAAGTCAGTTATAAATGGTCTATTACAGTAATTTATATTGTTAATATGGTCTCTTAACAGTAAGAATTAACAAGTCAACACAACTACTTCAAATAATTGATTTTCAAAATCACTTTACACTGTACACTTGATTGTGCAGGGCGTATCAATTAGAAAATCATCTGGTATTTCGCACCTTACAGCTCATCCTCATCCGTGAGTAATGTAAATGAAAACGGCAAGAACTTGTAACCATCTCCCTCGTAAAACTTGTTCTGGAACTCTACCCAGTGAAGTCTCAAAGCATGCAAGAAAGCACTTAGAGTTTCCATTAACAGTAACACACCAACAGTTGCACAGATAAAAACAAAAATGCCAATAATGAGGACAATAGTGTTATTGTACCTGCATGGGTCACGGAAACATACGGGATTAGTGCATCAAAAAACCTTCTTAATGGCCCGCCACTTTTTCATGGCACAACTAAAGAACTTACCCCCAGGCCAGGAGCAGAACTTTGTCATAGAAAACACTTGACAGCTCCGAATGAGCTAAGCTAAACAAAACCAAAAACCAAGGAAAGAATTATTATATTGAAAGGATATGATTTATTTAAAGTAGAACGGTTTACAATAAAGGGTTGGGCTAAAAGTGTCTTCATTGTTGAGGAACATCAAATGCTAAATGCTAATTATTAATTAAACAAATAATTGAAGCATTGTTTAATACTACATTCATAGACATTTTCAAATGAAAATTCTAACTTTTAATTCAGCATTTTATAATACACTAGTGTCTTCTGTTAGATTCAACTTCATATGGAAGAAGTGTTGTTGCCATTTATTATATTTCCAATATATTAAATATTTTCCTATCTACTAAAACTTGTTTCTATCTTTACAGGACAGTAGTCACTAAATATCTGAAATAAAATGGTATGAAAATCTTGTAGAACAAGTAGTTGCAACTATTGCGTGGACGACAATAAAACCGTATCAGTTTTTGTCATTTAACTACCCTGATTATAATTTACAAGCAACCAACCCTTGATATGACAGAAAAAGGGTTGGATCCTGAGAATTGCTGATGCAATTCAAAGGACAAGAAATTAGTGTCGAGGTTTATTCATAAAGCTATTGATAATTTTGTTATCAAATCAATAGCACATTGATGTGGACCTAACCGAGGCATGTGGGTTTACTGGCTGGTAAGTTACTAGATATAGGTTTTACTGTCTTTCATGGTTTCTTCCACGATACAATTTTGCTAAATCAGCAACTGGTCAGCCACAAATGGTTCGATCCAATCCAACCTAGGGGCGATGCATTCAATTCACGAGGACACTGATCTGTGTAATCATAAGATGATGGTTTCGTATATTACTCCTTCGAATACCAAAGTCATTTTGTGTGAGGTTTCTTCCATTCTTAAGGAGTTAACAGGAATCCAAAGCCCATTGGACCGACCTTATTCAAAGTTCTTGCCATCTACGAGTTACAAGTTTATAAAAAAGCCCAAATTCCATGTCCATGTTGAATTTCGAATCACTGTAACAGAATTTCACATACTAGAATCATAGGCTTTTAACTGCAAAAAACAGAAACTGGATAGAGTATATTGTGCAAGAAAAATATCTCATTCACCCCACAATAACCAATGATAGATGCAGTGCTTTTATACAAAAGAAGATAGAAGAGAAAAAAATAAAGTTATATCAGAAAAACTAACAGATAAAGTGTTTTTAACTGATATAACGGTACAAAACAGTTTGTTATATTTGGCTTAACAATAAGCACTAACACTCCTCCTTAAGCCAAAAGGATTCAGCTAACACTCCTAACACCTATTAACTTTCTTAAATGGTAGAACCTCTCACGCTTCAATGATTTCGTGAATATATTTGTCAGCTGACTTTCTGAACAGCAATAATCAACCTCCAATCTTCCATTGTTAACTTGGTCCTTATATAGTGAAATTTGGTCTCAATGTATTTGCTTCTCCTGTGAGAAACAGGATGATGTGCCAAGTTGATAGCAGACTTATTATCAACCAGTAACTTCACCTTTACACTTAATTCAATGTCCAACTCCTTTATCAGAGAACACAATCAGGCTACTTGGCATGAAACTTCACAAGCTGCTACATATTCAGCTTCACAGGAGGACAAAACCACTACAGATTCTTTCCTTGAACTCCATGAAACTGATGCTCCATTCAGAAAGAAGATATAACCCGCTGTGCTCCTTAGGTCAAACTTGTCACCACACCAGTCAACGTCTGAGTAGGCTACCAACTTCAGATCTTTATTCCGCTTTTTCTTAGGTAGGAGAACACCAATATTAGATGTTCCTCTGACATATCTCAGAACACGCTTAGCTGCGTTCATATGTGATACTCTCGGGTGCTCCATATATTTGCTGATCAAACCCACACTAAAGCTCAAATCCAGACAAGTATTACACAAATACCTCAAACTCCCTACTATACTCCTGTAAGCTGTGGGATCAACTGCTTCCTCATCTGATTCTTTCTCAAGTTTCAATCCAACCTCTGCTGGAGTGGCCGCAAAGTTGCTTCTGCTCATGTCAAACTTCTTCCGTAGATCATTCATATATCTGGACTGGTGCATCAACATCCCATCTTCTGTTTTCGTAAATTCAATGCCAAGAAAGTAACTCAACCTTCCTAAATCACTAATCTCAAATTCTGTTAACATTTGCAATTTGAACTTAGAGATAAGTTCTTCGTTGCTTCCAGTGACTAAAAGGTCATCCACATATTGGCACACGATCAACTTCTCTGTCTGATTCACTTTGAATTTACATTGCTGCATGTATACTCCATGCTCAGACTTGCACTTTTGGAATCCTGCTTTGCTCATAAACGAATCAATTCTTTGATTCCAGGCCCTTGGAGCCTGTTTGAGACCATAGAGCGCCTTCTTTAATTTGCATACATGCTCAGGTTTCATATTGTTTTCAAAACCTTGTAGCTGAACTACATACACTTCTTCTTCTAACTTTCCATTTAGAAAGGCCGATTTAACGTCTTGATATAATGGCCAATTATCAGCGATTGAAGTTACCAACCTTATTGTTTCTGTTCTTGTAATTGGGGCATAGACCTCACCATAATCAATGCCAGCTCTTTGTAGGAAGCCTTTAGCAACCAGCCTCGCCTTATACCTCACTATGTCTCCTTGTGGATTTATCTTAGCTTTATAAACCCATTTAAGTGCTATTGGCTTCTTGTTGAAAGGTAGCTCCACCAACTCCCATGTCTTATTTTTCTCGATGGATTCAATTTCTTCCTCCATTGCTCGTAGCCATTGCTCGTAGCCATTTCTCATATGTCGCTGCTTGTTCAAACTCAATGCTCTCAGATTCAGCAATCAATGCATAATGAACAAAATTACCTTCAGCAGTCACGGTAGTTTCATAAGAGAGTTCATAATCTCTCAATTGAGGAGGTTGTTGAGAGATTCTTAATGATCTGCGAACTCCAGCACTGGTGCCATCAATTTTTCTTGATGTTTCTGCTTCTGTCTCACTGTTGTTTTCTTCCAACACAATGCTTGGAGCTTCCACTTCCTTCTTTTCCCAATTCCACTCAGTTAATTCATCCACCAAGACATCTCTACTCACCATTACTTGTCTTGTTTTCGGGTCAAATAACTTGTATCCTCCAGTTTGATGATAACCAACTAACATCAGTGGCACCCCTTTATCATCTAGCTTTTTCCTTTGCTGGTTAGGAATGTGTCTATAACACACTGACCCGAAAATCCCAGGTGATTCACATTAGGCTTCTCATTTGACCAAGATTCTTTAGGTGTAATGACTTTCAAGCGCTTTGTAGGAGTTCTGTTAAGAATGTATGTGGTTGTTATAGCAGCCTTGCCCCACAAGAATTTTGGTAAATTCTTACTCTTCAGTAAACATCTCACCATGTTAAGGATTGTGCGATTTTTCCTCTATGCCGTGCCATTATGCTCTGTTGTGTAAGGTGGCGTGATTTCTTGCACTATACCAGTCTCTTCACAGTATTGTTTGAACTCGGTGGAGGTGTATTCTCCACCACCATCAGATCATAACTTCTTAATCTTTTAACCACTTTCCCGTTCCACCATACTCTTGAATTTTCTGAACATATTCTGCACCCCATTCTTGTGTTTGAGAAGATAAATCCACGCCTTTCTAGTCCAATCATCAATGAACAAGACAAAATATCTACTACCTCCTGGTGTTTTCACTTGTATTGGCCCACACACATCTGAATGTATGACATCTAACTTTGCTGCTGATTGACGAGGAAGAAATTCTTGGAAACTTTTCCTGGTTTGTTTGCACTCTACACATTTCTTGCACACAGTGTTTGGTATCTTGATTGGTGGCAATTCTTTAACCATTGTATCTTGACTTAGCCTGGACAAGTCTCTAAAATTTAGGTGCCCAAACCGTAGATGCCATAGCCATCCTGTCTTGTTTCTGGTTATGGCAAAGCATTGATGTTTGACAACATCCATGATAATAAGAAACGTCCTATTCTTGGACAGACTTGCACTCACAACTAATTTTTTATTCTGGTAAAAAATACTGAGACTATTATCTTTCATTGTTACCACAAAACCTTTTTCTAGTAATTGACCAAGACTTATCAGATTAGTTTAATCCAGGGACGTATAAAACTTCTTCGATCATCACTTCTTTTCCATCATGACCTTGCAACACCACTCTGTCTGAGCCTTCTGCCATTAAACTTCTATTAATAGCGAATTTGATTTTTCCATTCACTACCTCCTCCATCTGAACGAACCACTCTTTCTTTCCTGTCATATGGGTGGAACACCCAAAGTCAAGATACCATGCAGATTCAGTGTCTTCTTCGCAACTTGTTTTAGCCATTAACATCACCATTTCTGAATCTAAAATATCATCTTGAACTAGATGCGGATGATTTTTCGGCTTGTTCTTTGCACCTTCTCCCTTCCAGCACTCTTTTGCATTATGGCCAAATTTTTGACAATTATAACACTTCACTTTTCGTTTGTCAAACTTCCACTCCTTCTCACCATCTGCTTCGCGTTTTTTTGCTTTCCAGATTCACTTGAGTCTTCATTCTGCTGTTCTTGACTATCTTTTTTCTTACTACCACCCTTGCAAGCATGTTTCTGTTTGAAACTCTTCCCTTTGTATTGAGTGCACACCTGTAAAGCTTGTTCATGACACTGCCTTCTTTCTTCTAACCGATACTCGTGAGCTTCAAGCGAGTGTTGTTGCTCTTCAACACTTAATACTTCAATGTTTTTGGTCTCCTCGATGGTCAAAACCAAATGATCAAATTTTGCTAATAAAGATCGCAAAATTTTATGCATTATGTGTTGTTCCGTCATATTGTTTGCACAAGATTTTATGGTATTGACTAATTCTTGCACCTTATTAAAATATGCACCCACAGTTTCTCTTTCTTCCATCATGAGAAACTCAAACTTCGGCCGAATTGCCTGGAACTTCACCTTTTTGTGTTGATCACCTACTCCATATGTTTTCTCCAATATGTCCCAGGCTTCTTTAGCCGTTTCTGCATTTGAGATTTTATTGAAGATTTGTGAACTTACATATTGGTATAAGATAAACCGTGCCTTGCTATCCAGTTTTTCTTGCAACTCATAATTTCTTTTCTCCTCTTCTGAAGCTTTGCTACTGAATTCAGGAATACCATTCTGAATCACCTTTGCCACTTCTTGAAAACCAAACACAGCCTTCATCTTGATCCTCCAATCATTAAACATCTACCCTTCAAAAATTGGTAGAGATCCTTGCATTATACCTCCTAATCCAGCCATTGTGATAAGCACTCCTTCGATCAAGAACCTTGAGATACACTGTTTTGTTCTTGTTCTGCACTCAAGAACGTATCACTCGTTGTAGGATCTCACTTTCTTGCTGTTTTTTCACACAACAAACTTTTTCTCTTGATCGAGAAGGAAAACACACACTTCCCTAGTTATCGTAACTAGCTCTTGATACCATGCAAAAAACAGAAACTGGATAGAGTATATTGTGGAAGAAAAATATCTCATTCACCCCACAATAACCAAGGGTACATGCAGTGCTTTTATACGAAAGAAGATAGAAAAGAAAAAAATTAAAACTCTAACAGAAAAAGTAACAAATAAAGTGTTATATTAAAACGGTTCAAAACAGTTTGCTATATTTGGCTTAAGAATAAGCACTAACATTAACTACCTACCTGAGGGCCCACAAACGTAGATACGAAGCTGTATTAGACACAGCTCCGAGCACAAATTCGATTGTATGTATAAGTTGGTGGACAAAAACCTCGCTGAAGTCAAACTCATCATGGTCACAGGGAACACTTTGCGACTGTGATTCGCTAGGATCATCCGTGCTGTAAAGCAAAGAGTAAGATTGACCTTGATGCCTCTGAGGAAAGCATGGTAATGAAAATTAGAATGTGATTTAATAAAAACGAGAAAAAAAGAAATAAAATAAGATTTTTTAGTGTACTTCTTTATGTTGCTTCTTCAGTAGAAAGGGCTTTGGTACTAGCATCCATGGTACAGCAACAAGTGCCAACAGCAATAACACAAGCTAACATCAACGAAACAGTGGACAGTTCAGATGAGGCATCTGTCTAAAACAAACGTATACAACTCAAATTTGAAATTTCTTACTTGAAGGAATTTTTGACCAACAAAAAGCTGGTTTTCACCTAAATCATCAGTTGGGCTTAGGAACATGTATATAACCAAATGATACAGGTCAGCCTGTGACCCACTGCACCATTTTACAACTATGAGGAGTGAAAGGTAGCCAAACAAGCTATTTAAGAATATCATCTGGGGAACGAACTGGTACCTGAGTCATCATCAGAAAACCAAACAATAAACACCATACACTACAGACTAAGAAAAACTAAAATTGTTTTTTGCTGTTACCAGATATTTATATTGTTTTTGAAGTATTTTGCATTATAGTAACTCATTATGATTCCAAGATTCATCTGGGATACCCCCAGCAGAATTGACATCTTCATCTTCAAAGAATTAAGAAATGGGAGTTCACTCCGAGTACCATGCCATTTAGGATCCACTCCAAATGGATAAGTGTCACGCACTTTTATTAAACCTGTTGTAGAAGCATCCCTAAAAAAGGTAATAATAAATATCACACACACAAATAATGTAACCAATTAGAAACAAGGGAAAAGTGAAATCTAATATATTAAATAAATTGTACTAATAAACACCTGCATGAAGGATCACGACATTCATAGGCAGATGATCCAAATAATTCAAATGGAACAGAGAAGAATTCATTATATATCAACCCAGTATAGATTGAGAAGAGTGCCATCATCATAATAATATAACGTCCACCGAAAGCCATTTCCATTATGTCTCCAAGTTTCTGCCGTTATGAACAACATCGAAACTGATACAGGCATAAAATAAAATAGGAGGAAACATTCAGATTGAATGCAAAATATCCATGACCATAAGTACCTGACTGGAAAATTTTTTCTCTCTGACTACCAGATACAAAGCCGCCAGTAATAGGCATATGCCATGGCCCCAGTCACCAAACATTACCGCAAAAAGGAATGGAAACGTGATAATTGTGTACACACCGGGATTTGCTTCCTGATACTTGGCGACTCTGTCAAGTAATAATGACTATTTTAGTTCAAGGCTCATTGTCAATAAATCAAGAAGCAACTAAAAATCGGTTATTGGGCTTTGATGACGTGACAGTTAGGATAAAATTAATAATTGGTTGAAGAATGTTTTTTTGTGATATAATTAGATAGTTTTGAAACGTTTAGAAAGTGATGCAATTGAGGATTGAGAGTACTTAGATACATAATTATAATCTTGTTTCCGGTATCACAAAAAATAATAAAGGCTAAGTTTCTAAGTTTTTGAGAAATTATTTGTTATCAAATTGGTACGAAGAATTAGGGTTAGTGGAGATTCTTCACAAAAGTAAAAGTTAGAGTTTCAGTGCCACGAAATGATTTTGAATGGCTGGTTTAGAGAATGCTTCAGTCTGTTGAACATACAAGGACTTGATGTTAAACTTACATGGACATGAAGCTTGTTGATTTTGATGATGATTTAAGAACAAAGAACTTAGAGAGTTGAATACTTGTTTTATTGTGTAATAACTCTGTTTTGATTAGTTTGAGTCTGTAATATTAGAGTCTAAGATAGCCGGTATATAGTATGCACTTTAGAAGCTTCAAAACCTCACATTTATCAGTTTGCCTCGGCTTTAATCGATTAAATAGTCAGATAATCGATTATTAAAGTGAGAAAAACCATTTTCTGTATCTGTTCACTATAATAATTGATTAACACATCTGTTAATCGATTAACAGATTAACAGGGCTTTTAATCGATTAAAACAGAGAGTTTTGGGGTTCTATTGATTTTGGCTCTGTAATAATCGATTAACACTTTATTTAATCGATTATTTCAGTCAGATTTTGATTTTCAACTTCAAATTAAACCTATTTTCGAAAACCCTAATCCCAATACTCTCTAATTCCGAAAATCCCAATTCCCAAACCCTAATTTCTCTACTTAAGGTTCTCTAAGGCTCTCAGAAAATTGAACAACATTTTTCAAATCAAAGTTAAGTGTTGTGAGTGCCAGAGAACTGTTTGTTGGAGGAAAAAGGGGTTTTTGGAACCTGGTGTGGGCTAGAAGCGATAAGAATCACTAAGTGGAGTTCTTAGTGGATTGTGTGTTGTGCCGTCTCTGGAAAAAATTGTTCTTCATTTCTTGTGGGTTTCAAGAAAAGTGTTTTCTTTACTTTGAATTTTCAATTGTTATCTGTTTGTAACAACTTTGATTATAGTGACAACGTTAATCCTCTGTTTAATTTATTAGCAACTGGACGTAGGGTCTTTTGATCCGAACCAGTATAAATCTCCTGTGTAAGACTCTATCTCTATCTTATTTACGTTTACACAGCTTTTTAATCGGTAAAATTTGGGAAAAAATTTTAAAACCTAATTTTTGTTAAGAAACCAATTCACCCCCCTCTTGGTTTTTGTCCGTCCACGCGAACATTCCGCTGCGCGATTCTAACAAGTGGTATCAGAGCTTGCTTTGATAGTCATTCAAACTTTTCGAAAATGGCCAGACAAAATCAAACTTTTGCCGAAGGTGCGTCTATCAACAGACCCCCACTTTTTGCGGGTAAAAATTATCCTTTCTGGAAAATAAGAATGCAAATCTTTTGAGTCTGTTGATAGAGGCGTTTGGGACGCTATTTTAAACGGTCCATATGTTCCTAAAGTTACTGAGAACGGTGTTGACGTTCCCAAACCTTTTTCTAGATGGACAACAGAGGAAAACAGAAAAGCACAATTTTTACGTTAGGGTTAGAAATATAATTTCATCTGCTTTAACCCTTGACGAGTTTTACAGGATTTCTGTTTGTAAAAGTGCTCAGGAGATGTGGGAAATGCTAAGAGGGACCCACGAAGGTACCAACGACGTTAAGAGAGCACGGAAAAATTCCCTAATCCAAGAATACGAGATGTTCCGGATGCAACAAGGCGAAACGATATTTGACGTTCAAAAGCGTTTCACTCATATTGTGAACCATCTCACCGGATTAGGTAAAATCTTTGACGTTGATGAATTGAATGTTAAAATTTTAAAATCTTTTGATAGGAAATGACAACCTAAGGTGACGGCCATCTCGGAGTCACAAAACCTTGTCACTATGTCAATGACAGCGCTCTTTGGAAAGCTAAGAGAGCATGAGCTTGAGATTGGAAGGCTAAATGAAGAAGAAGAACAATATCAAAAGAAGAACTTAGCCTTCAAAACCGAAATTTCCAAAGGTAAAAATAAAAAGGAAGAAGAAGACTCGAAAAATGAAGAAGAAGAATTGAGTCTTATGATAAAGAAGTTCACCAAATTCATGAAAACAAAAGGAAGGCATCCATTCAAAGGTAAGGGAAAGGTAAGAGAAAGTACTTCCGTAAATATAAAATGTTATGGTTGTGGTGAAGCAGGACATGTAAAGACTGAATGTCCAAACAAGAAAAACAATGAAATCAAAGGCAAAAAGTTCTTCAAGAAGAAAGCCTATATTGCTTGGGACAACAGTGATTCAAGTTCGGAATCAAGTGACTCGGAAGTTGAAGCCAATATTTGCTTAATGGCAAATGGCAACATATCTTCCGATTTTGAGGTAAGTGATTCCGACTCATCTTCTAATGATGATGATAATAACTATGATGATCTGCAAAATGCATATAATGAATTATTTAGTGTCTTTATGAACTTGAAAAATGAATATAAAGTTGTGAAGAAGAGTTTAAGTAGATCCGAAAAGGAAATTGACTCATTAAAAATGAAAATCACATGTTTAGAAGAAAAGGAATCCTTAGAAACGAAAATTGTATGTTTAGATGAGAATGATGATAAGAACTTAGCATGTGAAACTTGTAAAGAGTATGAATATGACATAGATATTCTTAATCATCTACTTGATAAAGCCGAAAAGGAGATAAGTGATTTTAAGAAGGATAAAACTGTTTTTGCTCAAAATAGTGTAAATTATCAAGTTCCTTTGAAAAAGCCTAAAAGGAAAAATAAAAGAGTATGGGTAGAAAAAGGAACTAGAACATCTATGGTTAAAAATTCATCATATTCAAAAGTTACATCTAAAGCATGTTTTTATTGTATGAAACAAAGTCACACTTCAAATAAATGTAAAATTAAACATTTTGGTGTTCCTAAAGGTAAATACATTTGGGTTCCTATTGTTAAATAATTTATTTGTCTCTAACCCCAAAAGTTATGGGGACCTAAGTTTACTATGTTCTTGTTTTGTAGGAAACTTCTAAATCTAAGAAGTCTATGTGGTATCATGATAGTGGATGCTCAAAGCATATGATCGGTGATAAATCAAAATTTGTGAGTTTCAAAGCTAAAGAACAAGGATATGTAACTTATGGAGACAACAACAAAGGGAAAATTCTTGGAATTGGAAATATAGGTGGTGCAAACACATTGGAGATTAAGGATGTGCTTCTTGTTGATGGACTAAAGCATAATCTCCTTAGCATAAGTCAACTATGTGACAAAGGATTTAAGGTAATCTTTGAAAGTAAATTTTGCACCATACATTTGATAGATTCCGAAAATGTAGAATTAAAAGGCATTAGGCATAACAACATATACTTGATTGATTTGGATTGTTTACATGATTCTAGCATAACATGTTTAGTTGCTAAGGAAGAGAACCCTTGGTTATGGCATAAGAGAGCGACTCATATAAATATGCATCATTTGAACAAATTGATTTCAAAAGACTTAGTTATTGGTTTGCCTAAGTTAAAATTTGAAAAAGATAGATTGTGTGATGCATGTCAAAAAGGTAAACAAGTAAAATCATCATTTAAATCAAAGAATGTTATTTCCACTTCAAAACCCCTAGAATTATTACATTTAGATTTATTTGGACCTTCTAAGATAAAAAGTTTTGGTGGAAATTATTATGGTCTTGTGATTGTTGATGATTACTCTAGATATACTTGGACATTTTTCCTAACTATGACAAGTGAAGCCTTTAATGTCGTTAGAAAATTTGCAAAACAAATTCAAAATGAGAAAGACTTAAGAATTAAAGTTTTAAGAAGTGACCATGGTGGTGAGTTTCAAAATGAAAAGTTTGAAAGTTATTGTGAAGAAAATGGAATATTACATAACTTTTCTGCTCCTAGGACTCCCCAACAAAATGATGTAGTTGAAAGGAAAAATAGGTCATTAGAGGAACTTGTTAGAACAATGTTAAATGAATCTAATGTTCCTAAATATTTTTGGGTTGATGCGATTAGTACTGCTTGTTATGTTTTGAATAGAATGCTCATTAGGTCAATTATAAAATCAACTCCCTATGAATTGTTAAATGGTAGAAAGCCTAATGTTGCTCATTTGAAAATTTTTGGAGGTAAGTGTTTTGTGTTAAACAATGGAAATGACAACTTAGGAAAATTTGTCTCAAAAGCCGATGAGGGCATTTTCCTAGGTTATTCATTAACTAGCAAGACTTACAGGGTATTTAATAGAAGAACCTTAAATATTGAAGAATCTATTCATGTTACTTTTGATGAAATTGTAGACCTTGGGGGAAATCCTCTTGAGTCAAATAAAAAACTTGCAGGTGATGATGAATATATAAGAGAGGCTCTTGATGAATTGTATTTGGAAGAAAATGAGCATTCTCAAACACCTGAATTAGCAAAAGAATGACAATCACCAAGAGGACTTTCAATGGACAATATCATTGGTGATATCTCAAAAGGGGTAAGAACTAGAAATATGACTAATTTCTACATGTCTGTAGCTTTTGTGTCACATATAGAACCCAAAAATGTTGAGGAAACGCTTAAAAATGATCAATGGTGCATAGCTATGCAAGAGGAACTTAACCAATTTGAAAGGAATCAAGTCTGGGAATTAATCCCAAGAGAAGAGTCACATCAAGTAATTGGAACTAAATGGGTGTTTAGAAATAAACTTGATGAAGATGGAAACATAACAAAGAATAAAGCCAGACTTGT